CGGGCACACCATACCACCGATGGGTCCCAACCATTCACTTCAGCTTATTTGCTGCCTCCAAATACCAACAACTGCCCCAAAACTAGAACAAACCAGGAACTGAAAGACCCAAAACAACCCCAAGGGATGGTGGGAGGGAAGTTTCCTCTTCCGCTGCCACTCCTGTACTGGATCATCCGACCCTCCTCCACTCCAAAAGGTGCCGAAGACCCCACACCGCACTACCCATCACCAATCAGGTATACCTACATGTTTTACAACCTTCCCACCTTTCCTTGATGCTTTACTGTCTTTCCTACCCTCTTCACAGTCATTTCTGCCCTCCGCTATTTTTTTTTTTTGCTACAGGCACCGCTTTAGTATATCAGCCTCTTTGACTTTGCTTATGCACAACATCAGTGTCTGTGATCATTACAAGCACCACTTGAAGTTACAAACTTGGGACTTAGTCCAAGCACCACCATTATCAGTGCAGCTCTACATGGGACTCTTCATCAGGGATGGATGTGTTCGAAGTCATTCCCCACCCTGCAGCCACATGTATACAAGCCACTTGAAATGGGGTTTGGCAATTGTGGGATTCACATGAATGGTTAAAGAGAACCTATCATGATAAAAACATGAAATCATCACACTTAAGGTGAACACAATAAAGACACCAAGTTTCTATACAAATAGGAACAAGAATTCCGTACGACTTTCACCCCCAAAAAAATTGCATTCTCTGGAGGGAAGCCATCAAAGCAGCCATCAGAAATTTTGAGGCCCCTTACACAGCTTTAGCCCTGGGCCCCCCTGGGCCCCCCCTGACCACCAATATACTCCAAGGTCCCCCCACTTGCAGTCCCAACGAATCCTCTCACTGCCCACCCCACCAGGTCCTTCAGTGCAGCCACTTTTATTTTAACATGCCTACAACTTAATATATAAAAATGAAAAGTGTTTTCCAAGTTATCAGTGCTCTCGAGATCTAAACAGTAAGGAATATTTTGGCCAAAAAAATATGAAGTGTGACACTACGACAATATAGACTCTTTTGAGCAGGATCCTACACGAACACTAACTGCACTACCGTTTCAATGCCCCCTCTCCAGCATTCACAAAGTGCATCCAGCAGAAATCCTTGCAGATAATCACTGGCTGGGCAGATAGCCACAGATAGCTGCTGCCACCGCTGACCTGTTATTGAAGTGTACACGACTAGGGGTAGCAAGCAGAAGAAGGGATGGCGAGTTAAAAGGCATAGTTCACTTTTACCAAAAAAACTGTTGTTAATGCAGATAAAGAACGTAGATGAAAAAAACCAAAAACTGTTCAGCTTTGACCATAGTTGGATAGTGCACTTGTTATAGTTGTAAGCCATTTACATACCACATAAGGCCTGATGGGAATACTCCCAAGACATTGCTCAGAGATGTCCAGCTATTACTGGTCACCTTCTCTCCCCTGGTGCAGTAGCTCTAAGTCCAGCTTCTGAGAGCTCACTCTTGTGATGGCAAAGTTTAAAGATTACAGCACTCTTGAAATTGCTAAGATATCAGGGCGTGATCACAGAACCATCAACATTTTGTTGTACATAGAGAAAAAAAAAAAAGAACGCAAATTGATTGCAAAAAGATTTGAGAAGAATCAAAACTTGAAGCTACCAGGAGCCCATTATTCTCCAGTACCGTCAAATTCCAGAACTGCAACCTACCTGGAGTGCTCAGAAGTACAAGGTGTTCAGTGCTTAGAGACAAGGCCAAGGTAAAGAAGATTGAAACCCGACCGCCACTGAACAAGACACATAAGTTGAAACGTTAAGACTGGGCCAAGAAATATCTGAAGACAAATTTTACAAAGGTTTTATGGACTGATGAGATGATATTGACTCTTGAGGGACAAGATGGATGTGCCTTTGGCTGGATCAGTAACTGGTACAGAGCTCCACTTCGACTCAGACTCCAACAAGGTGGATTTGGGGTTCTGGTAAGGGCGGATATTATTACAGTAATAATACCAGCCCATACCAGAACCCCACCTCCACGTAGAAGTGGACCTCTGTGCCTGTTACTGATACAGCCACAGACCTCTACAGGTTAGACAAAGGCAACCTGACAGCCATTAGGCATCGGGATGAAATCCTTGGACCCATTGTCAGACCCTATGCTGGTGTAGTGGGTCCTGGGTTCCTCCTGGTGCATGACAATGCCCATCCTTATGTGGCGAGAGTATGCAGGCAGTTCCTGGAGGATGAAGGAATTGATACCATTGAATGGTCCCCACGCTCACCTGACCTAAATCCAATAGAACACCTCAGGGATATCATGTTTCGGTCCATCTGACGCCACCAGGTTGCACCTCAGACTGTCCAGGAGCTCAGTGATGCCCTGGTCCAGATCTGGGAGGAAACACTACAGGACACCATCCGTCATCTCATTAGGAGCATGCTCTGACATCAGGCATGCATACAAGCACATGGGGGCCATACAAACTACGGAGTACCATTTTGAGTTGCTGTAATGAAAATTTTCTTTTCCATCAAACGATGGGGCATCCTTACGTTCCTAACACATTACCCAGTCCATATCAGTATAGAAATCCAGCATGATATTTTCCCCATTGAGATCTGATTTTCAAAGCGTTCCTTTAATTTTGTTGAGCAATGTAGTTGGAGATGGCAGGTTAAAAGTATATGTAAACCAAATCACTAGAATCTCATGATCTTTAATGTGTTGAAACTATTCAAAAGCCATTTTCAATCATATTAAATCTGTAGCTTTCTTTCAAATTATTACTGGTGATCTTGCTATGAAGTTCTTTGTTTGGGCACTTTTTGTTAAGGGGGTTTCAATGCTTTGCCACGATCTCTCCATTATGCTCCTGTGTTGTCACCCTATATCTCATGGACTTTCATTGCAGGCTACAACTGGGTATTTCAATACACATAATCGTAGGCATGGTCTACTGTGGTCATCATTGTGAAAGCTGTCCTAAGAAATGGCATATATTTATACATAGCTGAAGTGCATGCATGTAGACCATCCTTTGTCATCCAAGATTCCTCCAGAGGTTGCAAAGGGTTCCTTGTGCTGTGGCTGATTGACCTCCCATCCCTCTCTCCACTTGGCAAAGTCAATACCATGACACCAAAAGATATTTTTAGCTGCCTGAAATGGTGTCAATCTGACAACCACTATAAGAAGAGCATAATCCTACTGACCACCAATGTAAGGGGCATTTTTGCCATTGACCTCTGATGAATCGTTTTGGTAAGGGTTCCCCAAGACCTGCCAATTATTTTGGGGGATATTCTGGGCTAAAAAAGGTACAGCCTGATGTAGACCATAAGTGTCTGTAAAGAGACTGCAGGAAATCAGCAGCACTGGAGTGTAACCAAAGATGGGGGAGCAAAAAAATCCAAAACAAAAACCCTACAGAAATGGTTTATGATAAATGGTGTTTTAGCAAACGAAACATTACCTACTTAGGGTTTACATCTACTTCAAGGAAAATGCATGTGTGTTTAATGAAATAAAAGATGTCTCTATGAATAAGGGACACTAGTTATAACCGATTACAGCATTCAGGTTCGAATAATGAAAACTGCTAAAGCCCCGTACACACGATGAGAATATTGGACGAATGATCGTCCCTTTTTTTTTTTCATGCTAGTCTCATATCAATAATGAAAAGGTTACTACATTTAAGAAAATTCTTGTAGGACAGAATAAAAATTCTGAAGTGAGGTCATGTATTGTATTTTTGGACAAAAACTGTACTGATCAAACGAAAATTGTATGATCTGGTATCATACGAGAAAAATTTTTGTGCTTGTCCCTTCGAATAATTTCCAACAAAAGCTGTATACGAACAATCAGATTATTGTACAATCGCTTAGAAATTGGCATTTTTGTAAGATTTCTGATCATGTGTACTAGGTTTAAAGACTGAGGAGATCCATTTTTAGATCTGCCAATGGTTGACACAAGAAGACCCATAATGCTGTGAGAAGTGTGCGTATGAAAACAACAAATACTGCTCCATTCACCTAAATAAAGAGCAGCTCAGCCCTCCCCCTCTATTCTCCCAGGAAGTGACGCCTGGCCTACCCAGTCATGGAGCCTGGAAATGTGAGCGAGAGATGACAGCTCCAGACAGAGAACCTGGACAGAGCTGGTAAACAAAAGGATCAGCTGGGCACACAAAGAAAACCATCTTAGATTGTGCACAAAAACATGCGCTGTCTTATATTAAATAAACACCTTTCTTGTGTCATCTAATTCTAGATTTAGTATATATCAAACAAAGCCACATACAATAGATGCCTGCAGTGAACTAAATATTGTGTATATGCGTGTACACACACACCTCGTTGTATCCGACTGGGCAAGTTCATGGTCCAGCTCTCTGGGCTCTATGTCTGATACACATGAAACATTTTCAAGGCTTTTTTTTTTTTTTAAGTTATTATTATTTTGATAGGTTTCCAGTTTTTCCCCCAACCCATTCAATTACTCGGGGTTGGGGCCAACATGCAGAATGTGATAACGTGTACAGGCAATTTGTACACACATATTAGGGCCAAATGTGGACAAGAGTCAACATACCAGCATATCTTAGGAATGTGGGAGGAAACTGAAGTTCCCAGAGGAAACCCACACTAAAACAGGAAGCACATGCAAACTCCATGCAGATAGTGTCCTGGCTGAGATTCGAACCAAAAGCATCCCATTGCCAAAAAGCCACTGTGATATGTATAAAAATACTAATAATAAAAGTAATAACAATTAGTAGGATAGTAGCATAATTATAGTGTTCTAAGAAAAAATACATGCCAAGTACTAAGACACTATTCTCCATAATATGGACTAAAAAAAATATTTTATATATTTTTACACACACACACACACACACACACACACACACACACACACACACACACACACACACACACACACTTTTTAAATTAATAGTGTTGTACAAAGAAATAAAATGTATAGAGTGTGTGAAGTTCTTACCGGCCAGCCCCCCACCTCCTCTGGTCCCATGCCCCTTCCTCCTCTGCAGTATGAAATAAGGATTGGCCCTCTCGGTGATCCATAGGGCGTTTGCCAGCAGCACTTCTTCTGGATGGACCCACATGGTCAGGAACAGACAGATCTGGGTTATGCTCCCTGGGGAGAAATCCATTAAGCAGAGGAGGACAGAAATAGCAGTGTCACAGCCTTGGATGGAGTTCACAGATCAGAAGCTACATCCTATTTGATCCCAAACCACAAGAAGTTGCAAGTCCAGACTGAGCTCCAGTAGACCAGGGAGGGGAAAGGAGGTGGTCCAGATACCTCTATCAGCACATAAACAGCCACATTTTTGGACCTGCACCTACAAGATCAAATCAGCTGACAGCTCTGACATCAGCAGATTTAGTTTTTTTTTTGTTTGTTTTTTTTTATATAATAGTTGTGCTTTTATCAGATGGGCTCACATAATGAATGACAGCTGTGACATCTGAAATGTCAAGATGGTGACAGCTATGTCAGAGATCAGCTGGAGCTGGTACTGATCATTAATCCAGGGAGGATATCCATCCAGTCTTCCAGATCCAGTACAGGCAGCAGGAGATGGTGGGCACCACCAGGCAGGCGATCAGTGGCAGCAAGGGCTGTGATCAGTGCAGGGCTGCTCTGTCCATGGTACCTCCGCCAGGATAACAATGCATTAACCCCTCCAGTACAGACAGCAGCAGCTCGGTGATCAGAGGTTTGCACGAATGAAGGGGGAGGAGAGAGGAGACAAGAGCTGAGAGGCAGAGCCAAGCTGATACTAATGACATCAGCATGTGAACCACAAGGGACTGACAGGCTGGAGGCAGAGCCAGCAAAAGAAAGATTATGTGGCTGAGCAATGCTACACTACACCTGTACATTCATTCACAGTTCTGTCACAACTGGCTGAATCAGAGGAATGTTATAGGACATACTGGACATGACAGAATACAAAATATTATGCATACAGCTACAACTATAAACAAACCCCACAGCGAGGCCCTGGAGCAAGGTTTAAATTGGCTATATTTTTATAAAAATGTTTAGGTTTCCACACATGCTTTACATTTTTTTTAATATCCGATCGATAAACAAAAACTTAAATACTATAGTCAGAGGCTTCAACAGCTTTGCCACTGTGGGGGGAGGAGCACTGTAGTCATAACTTCCCTTTCAGATATTGCAGACTCAATTTCATCCAGATTTGATCAAACTTAGCCATATTATTGATTATTTTGTATCATGAGATTTCAAACGATCAGATTATGAGATTACATGGTGGAAAAGAGATGCATAAATAGGATCATATCCAAACTATCAATCTAAATCCACTTCCCGATATGTGGCATATCCCTCTAATGTGTTGTTGAATTTAGATTGATATTCCCTATAGAAGGATCAATCAAAGAGAAACTGATCATATATGGCAGCACAGTGGCTAAATGGTTAGCATTTCCGCCTGGCAGTACTAGGGTCATTGGTTCAAATCCCAACCATGGCACCTCCTGCCAGGAGTTTGCATGTTCTACCTGTGCACTTGTGGGTTTCCTCTGGGTACTCCAGTTTCCTCCCACACTCCAAAGACATGCTGGTAGGTTAATTGGATCCTGTCTAAATAGACCCTAGTATGTGAATGTAAGTTAGGGACCTTAGATTGTACGCCCCTTGAGGGTTAGGGACCAATGCGAATGTACAATATATATGAAAAGCACTGCATAAATTGACTGCGCTATAAGCGTAATACTAAAAAAATATATACACACTATAATCGCATATAAACGTAATAATAAAAACTATAAACATAATAAAAATATCAAAGTGTGTATGGCCACCATTAGACCACATCCACACTACCCTCTGCATTTAGGTTATTTAAATACAGAAGAAATGATCTAGAATAATAATAAATCAAACGGTGTCCCAGACCACGTGCTCATGCACATATGACATAAAATATTGGCTTTTTTCCTGTGCCCATGCCCAAGTGTTGCATACAGCTGCCCAGAGACATGAATGGCTATGTGCGGCTGTACCCGAGTATATCTGGAATGTACAAACATGCTCCCCTAGCAGAGGCTCTCTGTTCATGGAATATGTCCATATGCAGCTTTACAAGTGCTGTCTACAGGTGACTGTACACAACAACTGGGCTTCCCAGGTACAAAAAAAGCCAGAATTTTACATTGTACACAGCCCATTAAGTACAAATCCACCCTTGAGTGCACAAAATTCTATTTTCTCTAAACACAGCTAAACAGAACGCATTTAAATCAAAGTAAATGCAGAGTGTGAATTATACAAAAATATGGATTTATCTACATTTAGAAATGTCCTTTGGTTTGTGGCTTTAAATACATTTTGCTGGGTCCTTCTTTTAATTTATGAGATTATTAGAGTAACAAACAACAAAAAGAAAAAAAAACTGAAATACCTGCAATATTCAAGCATAAAATATGAGAAATAGTCACGGCTGACCCGCCTGGTCACATGAGCAATGGAACAGTTTCCCCTTATGCACGCCTTTCCTTATACTATATCACAATAGTATTCACATTAATTTCACATACAGTGTCTAACACAGGAAAATGGTCATCCAGATTTGATCTTTTAGTCAATAAATTACTAACGCGGTTCTAGATCTGATATATTCAGAACTGCAGAAAAAAATTCTATATTAGTAACTAGCCCTTCTTTGTAGTAGCAAAACAAAACAAAAAAGAAAAAACAAACACAACAGCACTATGATCAGAGATGTAATGGCCAGCCATTGCCTTTCTGTTATTACCTTAGGTTTGTTCATCATAGATGATTTGTATACAGTTTGCTATTTTATAAACATATCTGACAAAGCAGATCATTCAAACACTTTTACGCCTTCATCTATATCTTGTGTTTGTTGGAATAAACACTGAGATCAAGGACTTTTCATGAGACATGCACTTAAAATTCCATGACAATATTCAGTGTAAACAGAGGATAATCAGGTGTATTATTGACATTCTAATTATTGTAGTCAGTGTTATAAATTGTGACACACTACTGGAATTTCTGGATTGAAATCACTTTACAGTGTATGCATTCATTCTGCCAATATTTCAAAACATGTAACAAATGGACAGATTATGGGGAAAAGCAGCAGAATAAGGGCCCATTCACACGGGGCAGAATCCGCTTGCTCAGTGGGGGATCTGTCCACTGATCCCCTGCTGAGCAGAACAGAGCAGAGAAGGAAGATGACAGGTCTGTGTCTGCTCCGCTTATGCAGAGTGGACACAGACACAGACCAAAGAAATTTGTGAAAAGAGATTCACAAGAAAGCGGCTACATTATGGACAGAATGCGATACTCGGAAAAATTTCCAAAAAATTATGCTTTATTAAACATTAATGATTGACAATAGGGCAATCACCCTGGTTTGCCATCACCTCAGTATGAGACAATACACACAGAACTAAAACAATTTAAATCACACCAAGACTGGTCTGGATATATATGTGCTGCAGAGGCAGTGACAAACTTTGTCTAGAGCATTTGCAACACCGCACATTGGTTACACTCCCTGTAGGAGGGTTTTTTCAAAAAATTGTACCATAGGTATAAATAATGTAATTATCACATGCTATGCATAATAGCTAATACAGTTACCATGTAGAGAGAAACATAACCCTTAGCCTGTTCAAGGCGATGTGGGTAAAAAATTGCATAAGAAGGGGGTATATACCCCAATAATATGAATATAGATTCATACAGTACAACCCAATAGAGGCACATGTGGTTGGGGCCCATCTACCCTTGGTAGATGCAAATAGTTGCAAAAATTCTTATAGATGAAAGAGTCTCTGTTGATGTCTTGATGGAATAATAAATGTAGATAGCAGAGCCCTGCTTTATATGGTTTCTTCACCATAGCATGTGGACTATAAACCACTTTAATATACGTGATAGAATGAGGCCTAATGGGTCTTCCGTTTGTTGCAATATATGCTGTATGCATTGCATCTAGGTAATGCATCATAATGTCCCCATCCCCTGTGCCATGGGTAGTAAATAATGGAAATGTCCTTCATATGTACTGCCATGTTGATCCAGGGAACAACCGTTTACATCAGCCGACATTTCGCAGGTTCCATTCTCTCCATGGCGCCTGTACAGCTTTGCATGACTCATGGCATGTGAAAATGGCCGCCTCCTTGTAGGTCAGCGTGTATAATGCCAATGCGCATGACCGGAAGTGACGTATGACTGTGGTGAAGAAACCATATAAAGCAGGGATCTGCTATCTACATTTATTATTCCATCAAGACATCAACAGGGACTCTTTCATCTATAAGAATTTTTGCAACTATTTGCATCTACCAAGGGTAGATGGTCCCCAACCTCTGGAACAGCAGCTGGCTCAGCCTCTCTGTGAGTAACTGAGAGCCTAAGCCAGAAGCTTCTGCCCCCTCCACAGCCCAGCACTCCAGTAAACTCTGGAGGACCAAAGCAGAGAGCTGGAGAATGACAGTCACAGACTCTCTGCTCACAGAATACAGGGAACAGAGCAATCAAAAAGCTTTGATCACTCAGTTGTCAGTCTTAGAAGCTGCAGGGAACAGATGCAGCCCTGGACTAATTATTATTATACAGTATTTATAAAGCACCAATGGTTTGCTCAGCGCTGTACATTACTAATGCTGCATTCACCTAGGTGAGAATTTTTTTTTTTTTTTTTTTATGAGACCCAAACTTCTCTTTTAATAAAACCATGTTCAAAATGACTACATACTCCCTTTAAAGCCCAGTAAACATTCCTATGGTTTCCTATATGCCATAATACAGTTAGTTTTTTGTTTCATCACTTGCTGCCAGTACTTTGTAACAATTGGAATTATCTTGTTTGTCTGGGCATCTGTTCCAGTTCTGCATTTTCATTACTACATTTCCTCATATTTTTCAGCTGTCTTTGATTTTCACAGATAGTCCAAGGTTTGGAAAATGTGTGCTTTGCTTTCAGTAATAACAATACGTATTATATACACATACATAGCCTTGATTTTTCTGTAAAATAGGTTTGGTTCTCACCAACCATTGTTATTATACAGCCTTTTTATAGCA